CCGCGCGGGGTCCGCCGCCAACGGCTATGCAACAGCTGGAGGCAAACTTGCTGCGGGGCGGGCGAGATGCGCAGCGCCCCCCAGCGCCTGCTGGCGAACGCCCCCGCTCCGGACCCTCCCCCACCCCTGGCCCCACTCCACCTGCGCCTCCGCTCCAGGTTCCGCGGTCCACCGCGAAAGGCAGCTGCTGCGTGCCCATTTTACAGGCGAGGCAACTGAGGCTCGATGGAAGGAGGGCTCCCCGTTTGGCATGGAGCTTGCAGCGCTGAGTCTCCATGACTCCCTACCTCTGGTCAGAATGCTTGGGGGCAGATCGCTTCTTCTCCCATCCCCCAGGAGTGTCCCCAAGAGGATGCTGTGCTGCAGCTCAGAGAAGAGTCATAAGACCTTGGTGCCCCATTTCAAGCTCCCACACACACACATACACCTGTGCCACCTGAGTTGGGGGGGCCCTAGCTCCAGGGCCCACTGCACTAGGGGCACTAGTACGGGGGAGGGGGCGTGCGTTTGGTCTCAGCTGTACCAAGTGCCTCCTCCTGTCGCTGTCATCCACAAACCGAGACAGCCCAGCCCAGCTGCCACTGGCAGGCCTTGTGTGTCTCAATCACTTTTATGGGGCCGCCTGCCCTGGCCCTGTGGGCAAGTGCTGCCCAGCGGCAGGGCCTCCCGCAGGCCTGGATGTCAGTGATGCCTGGGCTACATCCGGACGGAGGAATAAGAGTTGGCCGGATGGAAACAGTGGAAACGGGCATCCCAGGCTGCGGGAACAGCATGTGCAAAGGTGCAGAGGCATGAAGCATCCTGGGGAGGGGGGCGGTTGCAAGGAACTCCACAGAGTTGCAGCAGAAAAACCGGCTGTTCAGAAATTCGTCCCTCTGCACACAGGAGGGCAGCCAGGATGGGACTAGGCGGACAGACAGGCGCTGGGAAAGAGGTCACCCATGGTCTGGAGGTACGGGAGTTCTATCCCTACCCCAGACTTCCTGGTGCACTCCTACCCACTCTTCAAGGTCCCTCGCTGCAGATCCAACAAGGCCTTACAGCGTCTTCGCCCTCTAACCCGAGCTCTCCTAAAGGGCAGGGGCTGTGTGGAAGGCACTGTGCATGCCCACCCAAGGCTGGCCACTGAGCAGGGTCCGGCTCGGCATCGGCGTTTACTGGCCCTCCCCAACGCCCCGCCCCCTGCAGGCAAAGACACAGTGGCCTCTACGCCCTCTGGCGGATCTGGCGCGCAACTGCAGAGAGTTCCTCACCTACCTGCAGGGTTGCGGGTGGCTGCGGGGCTCAGGTGCTTTCTGAGACGGGCGCTGACTAATACTCACCTCATCTGCTCCGAGGAAGGGCCCCAAGGAACACCAGGCGTCAGAGAGGCAAAAAAACAACCTCTTCTGGCTCTGTCTTGGTGGGTTGAAGTTCTAACCCCTTCTGAGCCTCAGTTTCCCCCTTTGTGAAATGAAGATAAAGGGCCCATCCTGATACACTGCATGGGCCCTGTCTTCTCCCTCGGGACGCCCTGGTCTGTCTGGATTAGCTCAGGGGTGGCTATGAGATTCTCCCTTTGGGGCTGCTGCCAAAGGTAAACTTGCAGGCTTCAGGGTCTTAGCTCAGTTGCTGCCTGGGTAAAAAGGAGGCCTGGCCTGTGCTGAGGGTCACAGTGGCCCACAGCCTCAGGGTACTCCACTGGCCTTTCTTTAGGCCAGTGTTATCTGGTACTGTCTGCCATGGGGCAAGTATACATAAATATAATCTGTGTTGTCCAGAACGGTAGCCACTAACTACATGCGGCCAATGAGTGGTTTGCATTGTGGTTAACGAAACAGCAGAACTGAAGTTTTAATTTTTATTTTTATTGATTTAAATTTAAATAACCATATGTGGCTTGTGGCTACCACACGAGACAGTGTAAGTCTAGAAATACAGGCACCTCCCTGCTGACAGACAAAACCGCTAACACACACACACACACACACACACACACACACACGAACCTTGAGCCCCAGGGTGAGGCCATGGGAAAGGGCTGATTCAGAGGTGGGCAGCAACAAGTCCATCCCCAGAGCCTTGGCCCTAAGGAGGCCTTGCCGTCTTTCACCCGGTCACCTGTAACCACGCTTCCTTGCTCATCTGCTCAAACCCTAGCGATGCCCAGAGCTCAAGCAGAGAAGCAGAGATGCCCGCTTCTCCTGCCAGCTTCAGGAGCTTGTTAGCGCCTGTCCAGGTACACGTGTGATGTATGCCTCAGAGATATGTGATGAGTCCTCTCTGCTAGAAAGTCAAATCCAGGCTGCCTCACTTCCCCAGCTAAGGCTGGTGATGGCTTGTATCTAAATGTTCCCCCTAATCCTCACGCAGTCACAGGTGGGATTTTTCAAGGTGGCTGGGTCTCAGCTGTGTGATGCTGGGATCAAGGATGTGATGCTACTATTAAGGGTTTGATTGCTACCTGCCCTAAAGGTGGGTAGCCTGGATGAGACTTAAGGGCTAGTGTGGTCGCCTGTCGCTTGCTGCCTTGCTAACTCCTGCCTTCTGCTTGCTATGAGCTGTTTCTCCTCTACAATGCCCCTCTGTCTTGCCACTCTGCTTTGGAGCCAGCTACGAACTGAAATCTCTACAAACCATGAGCCAAATAACTTTAACTTTGGATGTCGGGTGTTTCACCTCAGCAACAGGATAAGTAACTAAGATGGGGCTCTTCGTAGTGAGGCCCGACTTACCCTTCAGCAGTGCTTGTGTCACGCACGATCTATGCCCAGCGACACCCAGCACCTGCCCTATCCTCAGCACGCCGTGCAGCTCACCCCAGATCTCTACCTTTGTGCTTTTGGTCCTGCTGTCCCCTCAGTTTGGGGAGAGTTTCCTCCTCTCCGCTCCCCTTCCAGTCTATCATCAGCTCCCCTAACCCTAACACTACTCAGAGGTCACCTCCCCTGCGACAAGGCCCCCCCGGATGGCCACCCCTAGCCGAGTGGCCACGTTACTTCTTCCTCTGCAGGTTCCCGGATCATGTGGAGGTCCAATGACAGCACACATCATATTGTGCTATTAGTCATTCTCTACTGTGTCTCCCCCCCAATTTGGTCACCTCTGTCGAGTAGCTGCCACATGCCAGTGCTGCTCAGAGCCAGGTGCTGGCTGAGGCCCTCTTTGTACTTTAGTGTCATAAGTAACCAACCAAATAACAAGCATCTATCTTTCTCTCCCACCAACACCCCAATTTCTTCTCCCACCATACTTGGTGGGATGTGGGCTGATCATCCTCCCTGCCCCTAGCTGGGCTGATGGAATCGTAGGTGGTGATGTATGGACTGGAAAATCAGCAGGAGCAGAACTATCCCAAAAATTTAATGCCAGAGGACACAGGTGGGCATCACCCACTGCCCTCATGCCAGACCCCGTGTTCTAGGATAGACCCGTAGTGCCAAAGAGCTGCCCCTAGCAGCCCACCAGCAAGTGCCCTTTATTACCCGGTTGCCAGACGTGGCTCACGTACAAGTGACCCCAATGCCCCAGCTACACTGCCAGGAGACGCTTATTTTCCAGGAGACCTTTCTTTCTCCGGATTTAGAGAACAGAGAGGTCAGAATGAGAGGAGCACCGGAATGCCAAGAGCTTCATGCGTTGTTTAAGGAGAATACCAAGGGATACCCTTCAGACGGAGGTGAAATTTTTTTTTCCACTTAGTCTACAGGGCCTTTTGAGTTGAGACTAAGAAAATTAGGTTAAGTGGATTCTTTTAGAGAAACACACACACGCAGCACGCATCTAGGGTCATGTTCCTTTGTTGGAGTCAGGCCAAAATATCAAACTTTCTGTTGGGCCTCAGCGCTGGAACCATGGGCTGCGACAGTGGAGGGACCCAGCAAAGGGACACAGGGGGCTGGAAGGAGGAAAGGAGCCCTGAAGGAAATGCTCTGTTGTCCCGAGGGACTGGACAACGGAAGTTTGAGCCTGCACCAGCTGCTTGGAAAGGGGGCCCTCTGATCTTGGGGTGTTTTATTTTTCCGGGCACCATGACAGTCACAGGAAGCCGAGTCAAGGCAGAGTCAAGGGGACAAACAATTCCTGGTTTGCGGAGAAGGATGAGAGGACTTGGAGCAGAGGGCTGGGAGAGTGGCTTGGAGGAAGGGGACAGGAAGAGATGTGAGAGCAACAGGGGAGGCACCTTTGAAGAAGTTTGGGGAACCTCCAAAAGGGGTTTTTCATTATTTTGCTGTGGAGTGCGCAAGACAAGCCCCGCCCCCACTTCTGCCCAAGACACCTCCCCTGCCCTACTTCCTCCGGAAACCTTGTTGTCGGCCTGTTTATCATATTACTCATCTATTGTTGTGAAACGAATTACCTCAAAACTTGGTGGCTTAAATCATCCAAAAAACAAACCATAAAAACAAAAACCACCAACTCCTTCAGTTCCTGGGGTCGGGAGGGTGAGTCCCACTGGACTGAAATCGAGCAGTGCTGCCGGGTCGCCCCCTCCTGGGGCTGGTTGGCCAAGGGGCTGCTTCCCAGATGGCCCACCCCCATGGTGACA